GAAGATTTTCCGATAGACTTTAGACTTTTCATATCCCCACAGGAAAAAGCCTAACGGTGTGATATCACATGATCTTGGTGCCAATCCACCAGTCCAAAACGTAAAATTATCTGCCAACCGAAGGTTCTCTCAATAAATCCATTGATTGATGCGATGTGTGGAGCGGCACCCTTGTCGAATTTTTAAGAAATAGTGACCGAGATTCCATGCCCCACAAACCACACCGTTGTTTTGTGGATGAAATGAGCTTTTGAATCTCTTCAGGTACTTTGCCAGAAATCATCGCTGAACAAAATTGACTCAAAACGTTGAATCTTGAACTTTACAGCCCATAAAGCGAAGCCGTCGCTTGGGCACGAGTTCTTGCCCGCTCGGCTATTTGTACGCTTTCAATTCAAGATATCGACGTAAATGCGCCGTCGTTCTATACGTCAACTGAGCTTGCGCCGAATCGACTCGGCCTATTCGTGTACACACTCCTGCTCGCTATATTTTCATCACCGTGTGCTGAACGCGCTCATCTGGTCGAATATATCCAAAATGCTGGTTCTCAAGATGGGTGATGGTGTTGCGAATAGTTCGCTCAGTAGGCGATTTATGGCATAAGTTGAAAGCGCGCAAACACATTACTTGAGAACGTGAATTTTCATAATAAAGTTGAACGTTATTGAACGTTGTTCAGCCGTAAGTCTTTCCATGATTAAATGTCAAACAATACTAAACCAAAATAAATGACAGCTTGATTCGACTTACGCGTGACTCTGTCAAAAAGGCTATTGAAAAGTACCTATACCTAGATCACCGTTATTATCTAGTAAACAATGTCGACTGTTGTGTTATAGGATCTTTAGAAACAATTTACTGTCTTGATCAAGATTGAACGCATATTTTGGGAAAATGTATCTAAAACTTAAATCCTGAGTAATTAATTAATGTTTAGGTCATTTTAACCGCGGTGAAAATATGGGTAATGAATAAATTGTGTATTTTTTGGAAGATTGAATTACGTTTCAACTCCTTAAATGTTTTTATGAAAATAACTGAACTGTGCCCTTCAATTCATAGTTGAACTGTTCTCCAAATTAGTCTATTCACTGATTTACATCCATTCCTGAATAGTGTAGATTTTCATACTTCCGCCCAACTTTATTTATCAGTATGCCCAAACAAATACAAATACTAAATACCCAAAATGTAGGGAGTATTAAAGAAATGTTTCGTGCAGTTCACACACGGACTTTTGTCGCCAAACTGTTGTGAGCGAGGGGACGAAGAGGAAAGCGAACGACCGTGCCCTTACGTGCTCGGTGAACGCTTAGTTTGTAACAGTTCGCTGCTACGGAATTTAGCAGTTCTTATCATTTTGAAATTCTTCATGGTTGTAATTGCGCTCGGTTTCAAATTAATAAATAAATAATATAGGTCGCTAAGTTGCTCGATGTAGCCGAACATTTTATTCTCGCAAAGTCAAATAGTACCTATACTGTTTGAGATTTTGTGGATTGACTGATATTTTTGGTAGAAGGTCAACTATAGGCAGGCGTCCACATATTATAGTACTTAGGGATTGAACAGTTTTGGTCTGATTTAACAATTTTTGGTCATAAGGTGTCATACTTTAAACGTATTATTCACGCAAATTTTAACCCGATATAATCATTGTGCTTGATATGCATAGTGAAAGTGAAAGAATCAGATGGAATTAAAATGGTGTTATATGGGAATAGGCGTGGTTGTACGATTTCGCCCATTTTCGCACTATGACATAGAAATATGAAAAGAACGTTATGCTACCAAATTTGGTTAAATCGGTTACAGATCCAAGATAGGGTTTCACCTAAAAGTGCCACGCCACTGTAATTTAACGCTTCGTATAAAGTCATCTATACCATCTCAGAGATAAAATTTAATGTCTCTGGCTGTTTAGTGCTTGATTTATCGCGTTTTAGTAGTTTTTTAACAGTACCGTTATATGGGAGTAAGTAGCGAATTTATTATAGCGTTAGCGTTTAGAGATCAGATACATTAAACCTTCTAGAGGCGGGACCACGCCCACTTTTAAAAAGTTTTAACTGCAGATGCCCTCCCTAATGTGATCCTGTGTACCAACAGTCTTGTATCTTATTGTAGCTTAGTTATGGCAATTTATTTGTTTTGATTAACTGTTTTATGGACGTGGCAGTGGTCCGACGCCCATCTGCAATACCAACGTTCAACGGTACAAGAAACATGCTCACTAGTTTATAAAGATATCTTTTACTGTTAGAGCTGTAACGGACGGACGGAGGGACAGTCAGCCGGATTTCAACCTGTCTCTTCATCCTGATCATTTATATATATATAACCGTATATTCAACCTGATTAGTTTTAGGTGATACAAACAACCGTTAGGTGAACAAACTATTATACTTCTGTAGCAACAGGTTGCGGAGTATAATAAAAAAATCTATTTCATTATCTATTTTTGTATGTAATATGCAAATATATGCATAGAAAATTGAACAAGTAAGGAAGGTAAGTTCGGATAACCGAATATTTATACTCTCGCAAAGTCAAATGGTATACTGTTTGAGATTTCCGTGATTGACTGATATTTCGGTAGAAGGTCAACATCAGGCACCAGTCCACATATTTAGCATTGGTGGAACAGTTTTGGCTTGATTTAGACAATTTTGGCCAAGGTGCATATTTAAACGTATTATTCACGAAGTTTTACCCGATAATCATTGTTGCTGATATGCTATGAAAGTGAAAGAATGATGGAATTAAAGAAGTTATGGAAATAGGTTGAGATTCGCATTTCGCATATGACTGAAATATGAAGAACGTTATGCACAAATTTTTGAAATCGGTTGAGCAGATCTAAGATATGGGTTTTCACCTAAAAGTGGGCTGTTCCTATAAAGTCATCTTATACCATCTCAGAGATAAAATTTAATGTCTCTTGCGTGTTTAGTGCTTATTATCGCGCTTTTGTAGTTTTTAACAGTACCGTTATATGGGAGTATGAAGTGAATTTTGTTATTATAGCGTTAGCGGTTTAGAGTATATGCATTAAACCTACTAGGCGGGACCACGCCCATTTTAAAAGTTCTTAACTGCAGATGCCCTCCCTATAGATCGTGTACCAATAACAGTCTTGTATCTTATTGCGGATTAGTTATGGCAATTGTTTTGATTAATGGCGTTTTTGGCGAGTGGTCCGATTACGACCTGCAATACCAACCGTCTCAGGTACCAAGAAACATGTTCACCAAGTTTCATAAAGATATCTCAATTTTACTCGTTAGAGCTTACGGACGGACGGACGGACAGACAGTCACCCGATTTCAACTCGTCTTCATCCTGATTATTTATATATATATAACCGTATATCTAACTCGATTAGTTTAGGTGATACAAACAACGTTAGGTGAATAAACTTATACTCTGTAAAAGGTTGCGAGAGTATAAAAATTGAACAAGGAGAAAATTAAGATATATCAATGTTTTAATAACATTAAGCGGTATTATATGTAATAATAATATATACATTTATGAATTTTAAAAATGGAGCGCCTTTTTATACTTATATAATATATTAAGATGCTTTGATATTTATTCCTAACCACGAAGGATTTAGTTTGAATATCAGTTTACAATATATAAAACAAGAATTGAAATTTTGTTCATGTTTTTAATATTTCCGAAAGATTAGGATATTCATGTCATTAATGGCCTTGAAAATATTAGTATCGGGTCATTCTGGTGGACTATGGAATACCCGACTTAAGTATTTCTTTATAACTATTAAGCGTTTATTATACATATTGTTCTACCACATTTATGCTAATACCTTGTGCAAAATATGACCACCATACTAACATACAAATGAACTATAACACGCTCTAAGTTCCGCGGCTGAACCGGCAAACATTTGCGAAAATTTTATAAAAGGAATGACAGAAAACTCACCTCGAATTGTCTGGACTCTTTTCGCTCGTGTGAACAGAACGACACCAGAGAATTTACCAATAATGAGCGGCAAAAGAATCCCCATGTGAACGCAGTATAAGAGACCAAATAGTAAATGAAAACTATATTGGCAGTGTAGTGGTAATAGAGAGAGTTATACGAAATTTCACTGCAGTGCGACCGAAGCAAGTCTTCTTAGGTAAATGACTATAAACGAAATTAAAGAGGAGCAAATTATTTGTAGTAGCTTATTACGACTGGATATTTTGTGATCTTTAAGAGAAATAATTAATCTCATGTTGTCAAACTACTTGAGTTAAAGTAATAATTTTATTTCTGCAGATTCGAGTGAAACTGTTTTCATTTACTTCAAACTGTGACTATTATTATTTAGGTTATTTTTGTATAGATTATGTTTTGTATGGGATCGGACCATAGAAAAGAACGGTAAGCTTGACCGAACGATCACCGAGGAAGTTTATCATGCGAAAGTCTTTATTTTAGAGCATATCAGTATCAAGTGGTTTTCGAGGCAGCTAGAGTCAAACGTCAGTTCAGTGAATCAGTTAGGACCATTGAAAGGTCTCAATAGCGTATAACAGTGTTTGCCATAGATTAATAAACTTTCGTGCATTGGGATTTTTGTAGAACTAAAATTCTTATAACAAGATAACATGCGCTTTTATCGTTGTCTCAGCAGTGGATAATGTTTTTAAAAATGAAAATTCGCAAGTTGATCTAACAGAGCTGGATGTTTTATGAGACCTATTTGGTGAAGATTATGTGAGATATTCCAAATACTTTGAAACTAACAGAACAGGTAATTTGCTTCGGAATAAATAAAACTTAACTATGAAACAAACATTTGTTTTAATATTTTCAACAACAAATATATATTATTTTGCTTTATACGTGCTACTAACAAATTTTAAATTAAATTGCTTTTTCATTTAAAAGTTAATAACTTATAATTCTTTGATGCAAACAAATGATTTGAAAATATTTTATTGTGAATTTTGCACATCAATAATTTTATTTTCTTTTAGCCCATACAGAAAGTGATACAACTGAAACGCCCATTGAAGAAGTCTACAACGCCCTCTACGGCAAAAGCATAAAATTGCTATGATGACAAGATTTCAATTAAATTGAGATGATGTTCGATGCGCACATTTCGTATTTCTCCACGTTCATTCGAGGGAACGGAATTATTGCAAAGCTGGTTGATAACAAACAGAGGTGGAAGCCCGCTGGCAAAAATCATGAAGAAGATACGTAAGTTCTGTAATCGAAAATGGAATAATAATATTTTAACGAAATGAATATGGAAGGTATATATTATGTTTATAGTTTTGAAGAGTCATTTAAACTAATTTATAAACTTGCAGTTAAAATTTTAAATATCAATTTTATTATTTTTAAACCTTGTCTTGTATTACATACAGGTTAGTAAGCTTTATGCGCCCAGCATAAGGTGAAGATTATATGCATCTAACATGATTATTGTGTGACATATTTCTCAATTTCTTAACCTTTCTATGTAACATCCAAATTTAATTAGCTCTAACCGAATCAGAGTAAAGTTACGTGATGAATACCCTCTAAATTTAATAAAGATATATAAATCCAGTATAAATAAGAATATAATACTGTTAATTAGTTGAAATAAGTGATGCAAAGGATAGTATGTTGAAGATTATGTGTGTTTAATTTTCTTGATCATATTTCATAAGACTACTTTTCTAAATAAAATTGGACATACTGAAGAAATAACAAGACCGTTAACTTCAGCAGCACGAAGCTATAATATGTTTCACAGCATATTTTATAGCCCATACATATTTTTATACTTGCAACATGTTGCTACAGATTATAACATCAGTTTTGTTCACCTAACGGTTGTTTGATCACCAAACTCATCGAGTTAGATATAGGGTTATATATATATAAATGATCAGGATGAAGAGACGAGTAGAAATCCGTTGACTGTCTGTCCGTCCGTCCGTGCAAATTGAGAGTATCTTTATGAAACTGGTACACATTTTCTTGGTACTCAAGACGGCTGATGGTATTGCAGATCACATTAAGGAGGGGATCTGTAGTTTAAAAATGCTTTTAAAAGTGAGCGGGTCCTAAACTGCTGAAGCTATAATAAAAATTCACTGAAAGCTAATTTTTAGCACCATTACATGTGAAATGGGTGAAATGGCCCACCACTGCCCATATAACGGTACGTTAAAAACCATAGGCGATAAATCGCTATAACGCCAGAGACATTATAATTTATCTTTGAGATTGTATGAGATGACTTAAAGGATCTGCGGTTCAAATTACAAGGGCGTGGTACCGCCCACTTTAGGTGAAAACCATATTTCGGGATCTGCTTAACCGATTTATACCAAATTCGGGCATAATATTCTTTCATATTTCTGTTATAGTGCGAAACGGCGAAATCATATTACAACCACGCCTATTTCCCATTAATTTCATCTGATTGATGGGTAAACTTTGCGTGAATAATACGTTTAAAGTATGCCACCTGTGAATAAAATTGTCTAAATCGAACCAAACTGTTCAAGCCCCAGGTACTGAATTGGACCCCAGTGCTATAGTTGACCTTCTACCGAAAATATCGGTCAATCACAAAGAAATCTCGCGAGTATATCATTTGACTTTGCGAGAGAGAAATGTTGGTTACATCCGAACTTAGGGTTGCTTACTTGTTTGTTTATTAAATTTGTAATATAAAATCTCCTTATAGCTACATAATATCAAAGTATTTTACATCAGTAAATCTTCTCATTGTTTTATACTTCCTGCCTTATATTGCCGTTCGAACGCACTTGAAATTTCAATGAAATCTAACAATTGTGCTACAACAAAACATCTTATTTCCAGAGAAATTTTGCGCAGCAAGTTATTGCTATCATTTCTGGCGCTTGTGCTCATTAAAATCATCAAAATCAAATTGTTCTGGCTGTTGCCATTGGTGATAGGTGTCGGCGCTGCCAAGAAGTTGCTGCTCACCTTCTTCCTCTTCCCGCATTGTCACATCTCTTCAAGCTGTGCTCTACTATCAACAGACGTATCACTCCAATCATCATCACCACCATCATCTTATCGACCATCATCACACGGTAAGTAACGTTTGCCATAAAGCGAAGATGTGGGTATGAGAAAGTGTGAAATGAGAGAAGGCGCCGAATTGAATTGTAATGGAAAAATAAAATGGGAAATGAAATGCAGGTCAAATTGTTGTGGTCTGGAGAATATTTGATATGAACTATTAAAATACTTTTGAGCTGCACCGAAAGTGTACCTTATTGATATTCTAAGACTAAATTATATAGATCTTACTGTTATTTATACAACTAGTTTATTTACTTATTACTACTTGATAGTTGTTTACATTAACATATTGTTTGTTAAATACTTGTTTGTTCTTAGATAATGTTGTGTTAATAAATTTGCTATTTAGATATAGTTATTTGATAAATTTTGTTTACTGAAACATAAGGTTGTTTTGATATTTGTTGTTTACGATATTTTGGTGATATAATATGATAGGTAATAAGTTCCTTAATTCGAGGAAGCATCCCTAGAAAACCTTTGCTAGTAGTAAATAACACCTGGTCCATGAAAAACTTACATTACGTCATGCACTAATTTTGGTTTGGATAAAATTTATATATATTATATACTCTTTATTTTAAAATATGATCAGACTTCTTGAATTATACCTAAGTAATACTTTTATTTGGTTTTTTTCTTATTGATATTCACTAATTCCTAAAACATTGTGATCAATTCGAATTTTGGTAGGTATTAAGTTTGTTATACGCAAGAGAATGAGATAATTACCATATTTTTTAAGACATTTATGATTATTTTATAAAAACTATGTTGTAAACATTTTGACCGGGGAATTTTTTCCTTGGAAATTATTCATAAGCACACAAACTCAGTTCGTTTAACGAATTTCGTTTGCAACAAGTTTCACTGAAGCCTCTAGATTTCTTTTCAGGACACCATGTGTATCTATAAATGTGTATACATATATCAAATAATAGTGAAAATTCAGTGACAACAATAGCTTTTAATTAAAATACGCGCGAATGTGCTTATTAGTATAAGGACTGACGAAAAGTACTGTACATTTATACGTATAAACATGGCAAGCACGTATGCATCACAGACTATTTTAATTGTTTATTTTGCTCTTAATATCAGCCACTAATGAAGGTAATTGCAAATTTGGATTTGACACTTTTGAGTAGAATTTTACATTCCAGCATAAGTATTCAACTGTAGCATATTTGTATAACTGAATATTCACGTGCTTTAATTAATTAATATTTATTATAGCAACAACAAATAGAATTCATTAATTTAGCTTTGCTTCAACAACACAATTGCAAACAAATTTCAAAACACATCCTGCACAAATGTCACAGATGGCTTGGATTCAAAAAATATACATACATTCATACATATGTATGTACATACATATGTGTGTCATCAGTAATACTTGCAAGAATAAATACAAAATTAGCGAATTTTATGATTGACTTTTCATATTAATAATATTCTCTTCTTTCTTAAGAAGTTCAAATTATGTTTGGGCGAAATCGGCAGGCTCTTGTACATATTCTTTATTGCTGTAATACATATGTATATACATACATACAGGTGAAGCTCAATATCCCAAGAACTACTTCACCAATTTGCCGTTACAAAATAGGCAAAATCGGATGACAACCACGCCTACTTTATATATAACAAACTTTTAAATTCAATACAAAAAAGTATACAAATCAAATATATTTGACGTTATCAGAATACAACTTTTTACTAAGGCATTTCATCTTACGCCCAAAAAGTGTCAAATTCGGACTGTAACTTTTCAAGGGTCCAAACACCAAACATCTGAACCCCAGTGCACATGGCTGATTTTGCACCAAAGGTATCTGTCAAGCTGTGAGGTCTAGTATTAAAAATCGGGGAGAATATTTTGGAGATGATAGCATGCCCCTGTACCAAAAATGGGTATATATGTACCTAATATAAATATTTTCGAACTTCCGATTGACTTTATACCGCACCTTTCGGTCAATATGTAAGAAATATTAATGAAATGTACAAAGAATCTCTTTCTCATAATAGTAAGTCTTCTTTCCTATGATTGTAAATAATGTATGCAACACTTTCTACTTTCATTTAAAATATATACGAAAATCCCCTATATCACTTTACCTTGCAAGAGGGTAAAATGTTCGGTTACACCTAAATTACCTTAATCAAATCGAGTTAGATATAGGGTTATGTATATATAATATAAGTGATCAGAGTGAAAATTGATTGACTGTCTCTTCGTCCGTCCGTCTGTGCAAGCTGTAACTTGAGTAAAAATTTAAATATCATACATATTTCTTCCAAAAGAAAGTTGGTATTGTAGATGGGCGAAATTGGACCATTTCCACGCCGACAAAACGCCATTAATCGAAAACCAATAAATTGTCATAACTAAGCTCCACAATAAGATACAAGACTGTTATTTGGTATAACGTTTAAAAAATTTTAAAAAAGTGTATGTGTCTCCGCCCTCTAATAGGTTTAATGTTAAAAAGACCGGGAAATTAATTCAGGTATTGGTAAAAAAAATATTCATTTATTTATACGAATTTCTATTATATATCTTACATATGACCGATATTTTCGGTAAAAAGTCAACTATAGAGACTGGGGTCCACATATTCAGTACCTAGGGGCTTGAACAGTTGTGGTTCGTTTTAGACAACTTTTGATCACAATGTGGCATACTTTAAACGCATTATTCTTGCAAAGTTTTACTCCGCTACAGTTATTGTTGTAGGACTTGCATAGTGGGAAGTGAAAGAATCAGATGGAATTTAAAATGGTGTTATATAAGAAATAGGCGTGGTTGTAATCCGATTTCGCCCATTTTCGCACTATAATTTAGAAATATGAGAGTAATGTTATGTATTGAGTTTGGTTTAAATCGGTTAAGCACATCGCAAGATATGGGTTTTCACCTAAAAGTGGGCGGGAAAGTCTGGTATGAGATGACTTTACCGCCCACGAGATAAAGTTTAATGTCTCTGGCGAGTTTAGTGCTTGATTTATCGCGCTTATAGTAGTTTTTAACAGTACCATTATATGGGCAGTAAGCCTGGTTGTCCCCTATTTCACCCATTTTCGCATTGTCGATAGAGGTGCTAATTATATTTGTTCTCAGTGAATTTGGTTTTTATATCTTTAGGGGTTAAAGAGATATGCACATTATACCTATTCATAGCCGGGACCACGCCCACTTAAAAAAAAAGTACTGCAAAGGGGCATTATACCAAATAAAGGTTGTGTATCTAATTGTGGGGCTTAGTTATGACACTTTATATGTTTTCATTTAATGGCGTTTTGTGAGCGTCCGATAACGCCCATCTACAATACCAACCGGCTTACGGCGCCCAGAAACATTGGTACCAAGTTTCATCAGGATATCTAAATTTCTACTCAAATTACAGCTTGAACAGATGGACGGATGGAAAATTTAATGTCTCTAATGCGTTTGGTTATTGTTTAATTGCGCTTTTTTGTAGTTTTTAACAAAGCCGTTATATGGGGAGAGGACGGGGTTAAAATTCTTGCTCCTGAAATTTCCTGTACCAAATAACGGGGTTATCTCTTAATTTAGTCCACTCGTTAGTTATGGCAGTTTATAGAATTTTGATTAATGGAGTTTTGTGGAGTACCAAATTTGGATAAAGTTGGTAGAGTGGTTTCGGATATTTGTAATTTCACCTAAATGTGGGCGTTGCCAGGCCTATTGGCCACTTTCGACACCTGCTGCTATGTGGGAAGTATGAATTATTCTATCTGACAATAAAATAAAAAGAAAACCGTTAGGAGGAGAACCTTTCCATTACAACTAAGCTCATGCTTGGAGAGCCTTTCCTACACACTTGACCCACCTACTGTATAAAAATTTCTGCTTTCCAGCTGATTTTAAATCGTGTAGGTTGATCAAAATGTGTGATATTTTAATGAAATGGAGTCGACAAGGTTTTTTAAAAATTACAAAATTATGTCTAAAATTTAGCGCTGAATGTGAATAGAGTTAGTCCACACCTTGGTCTAAACCTCATACCACCCCTAACTTAATGAATTCCGATATACATTTGACCGTAAATCACTCGGTTTTTTCGAACAATGGTATTTCCCGAACTTAGCCCTACCTTACTTGATTATTTCTAAAATTATACAATTTTGGAATTTATCACTATATGAGAAGTGCAATAGAATGTGCTCATTATTAAGGGGGTCATCCCATGTGACGGCCAGATTTTTAGGGATTTTTTAGGATTATCGTTCTGAACACCCACACCTCGAAAATATGGGCTCCTTCACAATTCCGGCTGATTGGCTTGTGTGAAACAAAAACATTTAGTAGCGTTTTAAGCTAAATGTACGGAATGGACTATTATCAAATAAATATACCAAACATTTTGGTAGACGTTTGAAAAAACGTTGCGAATTTGGGTTTTTATTTTTGTGTACCTTAGAAATTTCAAATCATTCGGTCAAGCCGTTTTTGAGATCACCAAAGTTGAAAAAACACAGTTTTGAGAAAAACGCGTTTAAAGTTTCAACTCAGCGCTCCGAACAACTCCTTATCTGCTGTATCTTTAAAACGACTTCGGATTTAAAAAATTCACTTTCCTACTGTATTCCAGACTTGTTAAGAAAGCAATTTATGGAAAAATTCGATTTTTAGAACCCACCCCCTTAACTCACTATCCGTATTAGTATATTTTTGGAGTGTATTTTATACATATTATTACTCCATATTTAGTATATATTTTAGATCCGGTTCTTTAAGCTCGGTTCTTAGACAATATTGTTGAAAATAACAGAAAGCACAAAACTTACTGATTTTTGGTTTTCTACAAGGATAAAAAGTATATCAAGTTAATTAAGATAGACATTTCAGATATATATATATATATGTGCTCTACACTCTTTAAACCCCTATGTGAGAGAGTATAAAACGGAGCGCTTTTTAACTCATTTCTCCTGATATCAAGGTTTTCAGGCTCCAATCCTATTATAAACAGTATGACGTAAAGAACTAAACAGAATTAAAACAAAATCATATAACAGCCAGTTGTAAATAAGAGCATGATTAGAAGAGTAGTGATTACATTTCGAAATAAGACAAAATATATGTTTTGAATTAGTGTTTTGGTTACTATAATTAAAGGGTCTCAGAGAAGTTCCAACTCATTGGAAGAAAATGCTTACTTATCTACATAGCCACTATTAATGCTAAAGAAGAGTGTTCTCACCGGATAAGAACCACTAAAAATACATATTTACCTATATATATGCAAATGCAATAAATTTCAATACAAACCCAAAATTAGGAAGCTCAGAGGGAGTCATAAATGTTCCAAACTTTCTCATTTTTATTGAAAAGTCTAGTTGAAGGTGTATCTGACAGCCTGTAAAAATTTATAAATATAAATTAAGATGACGACGGCACTTAAATACAAAAGTACTTTACAAATTTGGTAGATATATACATAGCAATATGTATATTCAAAAGTTGTATTATTAAATACAATGGCATTGTAGTAATCTGGAGGCACAGCCCTTAAAATTACATGTGTATATCGCTATCAGAGACCCTTTTGAGAATTTAGGTAATATAACCGATTATCTAAGAATCACAACATTGTTCTCGCTATTTATTCCATATGAAGAACAATATTTTGTCACACGAATCATTGCTGAAAAAATCATTTTTGTAATCGGATGAGGCGATAAACAATTCACATGTTGTTTTCAATAAGCAAAATTTATCTGAATGGTATTCATTATAAGAATAATAATTACAAATAAAAGTACGCATATATATAATAAAAGCTAACTTTAGTAATGATAGAATATACTGTTACATAAAATACAATAAATCTATAAGCAACTATCTCGACAGGGTAATTATTCAAATCTATATTATTATTCATACATATCCATATGCATATTTATGTACACTTATTGGCATACGTAAAATCTGAGGGTGCTTCGACGTACAAAGAAGCTTTTGAAGTAAACAACTTTTTCAAAAAAAAATTTATATATTATCTATTTGCCCTTCCTGCAGGTTGTTCCAGCTTGGCATGCGCCTGAACACCATTCAATACCGGAAATTATTTACACTCATCCACCAAAGGGACATCCTTCCACATATTTGCACGGCGCGCCGATTCACGAAAACTATGGCCCTTACTCATTGGAACACAATGAGGGTAATTGGGAAAATTCTGGTCCAGGATTGGGTTCAGAGTGAGTACTATTTCCAGAAAAAGTCCTCGTTTTCAATAAGATTTATTTGTATATATTATAAAATGTTGTTAATTGTTTGTCACTAAACGCTCCATATAAATTTTCCTCGAACCGCTATAATACAGTTTTTAAAGTCTTTCGGATAAAATTATAGTAATAAAATGACATTTTATCTACCAGAGTTAAATCTTTTGTTTACTATCTAAATCAGGAAGTATAATGCAACTTTGAAAGCACATTTTATCTTTCCATTCTTATGCTAATCGCGTGGGTCTTCTTTAAAAGTTTCGTAATGAAAATGAAATCTTCTTATATGGAAAGTTAACTACCTTCGCTTTATATATTAGAAGAATGAAATATATATAAAAAGATAGTTTACAATTGTTTGCTTTTTGTCATGAAGTTTTTTTAATTTAGGATATGAAGATGTCCATTTTCCATTAGCAAATTTTACTTATTTATCTATAATAATTTATATATCATATATTTATATAATAATTGCTTCGATCTTAATATATTTTTCGTCCATTTATCAGAATTGTAGGAATTTATAAAGTTGATGAGGTTGAGAACTGAGAACTAGAACTCGAGATCTCTATTAAACTACCTGCTCTCAGCAAGGTTCATTTTACCCTTTTTTGTAGTGGTACTAACTAGTGATTGCTCAAAGGGCATCCATTGAAAATTTTTTTGAACAAAAATTGTTGAAGTTATCTGCTAAAAGAAGAGGTAAAATCGTCTACTCCCCTTCTTCAGGATTGTTCAGCTAGATTAATACTAAACGTGAAACATCTTGGATGCTATACCTTCTGTAATCCAGTTGAATTGGCTGGAACAGAAATTATTCAACCCAAGAGCTAAGTGGTAGTCAATATTTGAAGGTTTTCATTCGGAAGCTATGATAAGTTTGCATGTGTCCTCAAAACACAATAACATAAATATTTAAACACCAACAGCCATCTGGGCACATACTTTACACAAGCGTTCAACACTTCATTTCCCATGTATAACCTTAAAATTAAAAGTTCCTATTTACATAGAGTATTTATATACCAAACCTCTCACACTCTTTTTTGCGTACACCTACAACACACCACATGATTCCTCTCTTTCGTTTGTTTTTCGTTGCATGTTCATTTTGCAGTTATATTGGCGATATAAATCGGTCCGCACAAGTTGACGAAAATTCTAATTATTTTAAACCAAATGCCAACAAGGATGCCAATGAAATACTTGTTTGGGGTTTGGGCACTACACAGCCTACCATTCCTCAACAACAACAACATCAACAACAAAGGTATCGACCGGTAACACAGCAACAACCACCTACACAACAACATCGACCGCCGTCACTCGTACAGCAACAAAAATTGCAATTACAACAGCAACAACAGCTAGTACAACTAAAACTGAAAACACAACAAAAACAACAACAAACTCATAATCTTCAGAAACCACACGCCACTAGTCACAGTTTTAATCCATTTTTGAATGGTGAAAATAATTTGAAACAAAGGTGAAACGCTTTATTTCAAATTAAGGTAGAAAAAATGAGAGCGAAATTAAAACTTAATAAGTTTAGAATTTTCCCCTAATTAACAATTCATTTAAACGAATATTTAAAATTATTCAATTCTTGACTGGTTCCGATACTACTTAATCAGAATGTTAATCATCTACAGTTCAACTAAAATGGCTGAATGTATATTATTTTACCTGATCCTTTCCTCTTATTTCACTTTTTTCTTTTTTAACACGAATTTCTTCAAAATTTTACCATATCTGATTTTTATTTAAATGAATTCTCGATAGTTTTAATACTACGTTTGGCCACAAAAGTAGTTCTCGCTAATCCTACGATGCTTCGTCGGGAAAAAATATCTCATTCTCTCCCTTTCTTAATGTCTTTTGATAGACTTATTTAGTTTACTAAAAATCAAATTATCTACTTCTGATTTTCCAAGATTAAAAACTTATTTCAATATCATAATCAGTTGAAATAATATCGAAGTTAATTTCCAAACTATTTATTAACATTAGACTCAAAGCATATCCTAAATTTAAACACCTCTTCAACCAGTGGCATGTATAAAACTGTAAAAACGAAAAAAAAAACTGAAACTAACACACTAATCTGACCAAACATAATAAATACCTGCATTTGAATTTGTTTCTAAACCGAAATTTACCAAATTGCCTGCCCTGCTTCACAGCATCCCTCCTAAATATATCCACTGACCAAATAATACTGAAAATCCTTCACTATCTCAAGAGCAACATAATAAACTTTCCCATCAAAATGCATTTGAACTTTTCCCCTACTTCAACATAGCCTCTTTATTCATTCACGGACATTTTCCTCTGTGGCCTTTTCTGAAACTGAATTAAATTTGCAATTCATTACATCGTTTTTAATTTATTACTTTTTTATTTACGACAGCTTATTTGCCACGAAATTAAAAACTCCAGCACAAGCACAATCCGCGCCAAATCCAGTTTATGCGCCCCCACCACAGCCGCCTTCGCATCCGCAGCAGCCATCGGCCGCGGCATTAACCGCAGCCGCAAATATCGTTGCTCAATACGATCCGGCACGCAATAGTCTCGCACAACAACAAAAAAAACAGGACCAACTTAAACAGCAACAGTTACAGCAATTACTAAAACAACAGCAGCAACAATTGTCTGTAAGTAAACCAAGAGGAGAATAAAGTAAAAATATCAGGATCATAACTGGTCCTCTCTAGTTACGCAGAGTTCATAGATACAATCACAGTGTTCTTATCAATCATATACATTTTTCGCTGTGATGTAAGGGTTAAAGGTACGCAGTGCAATTATGAAGGACCTATGTTAGATCTCTGTTCCAAATACAAAAATAGTTCCTTTTCTAATAAAAAAAAGTCATAAGGATATTTCTGTTGTTTGGCTAAAGGTCTTTTCACTCATCATCAACAACCTTGCGAAGCATATACACAATTTGGCTAGACACTCCATGCAAATTTTATATTCTTGCAAAATGTTGCTACAGAGTATAATAGTTTTGTTCACCTAACAGTTGTTTGTAACACCTAAAACTAATCGAGAAAGATATGTATAAATGATCAGGGTGACAAGACGAGTCTCTGTCCGTCCCTCTGTACAAGCTATAACTTGAGTAAAAAATTGAGATATCGGCACGAAACTTGGTATATGTGTTCCTTGTTTAAATCGGGGGAACGATCTCGTTGATTGGCGCTCACAAAACGCCATTAATCGAAAACGTATAAAGTGCTATAACTAAGCCACAAATTAAGATACGAAGTTAAAATTTGTTTCAACGAATTTTACTAAGGGTTTTAAAATCGTCAAAAATAGTGGTGGTCCCGCCCTCTAATAGATTTAATGTATATATCTCCTAAACCTTTCAAGCTATATCAATAGGCGTGGCACCGCCCACATTCAGGTGAAAACTCGTATATCAAGACTAGCTCAACCGATTTCAATCAAATTCGGTACGTAACATTATTCTGATATTTTTATTTTACAGTATAAAAATTGGTAAAATTGGACTAAACCCACGCCTACTTTCATATAACACAATTTTAAATTCCATCTGATTCTTTCACTTTCCAGAATACAAATCAAGCACCAATAAATATAACGGGATAAAACTTTGCACGAATAGTGCCTATGTAAAATGACACTTGATGACCAAAAATCATCAAAATCGGGCTACAACTAGTTATTCAATTCGGCAAATTCTTTCGTGATAATAGTATGCCTGTATGCCAAAAATGGGTGGATTCGAATTAATAATTCCCTTAATCCCTATATACCTAATAGAAAAATGAACTTCCGGTTGGATGTATACCGCAAATATCGGTATATGTGAGCTCTCTTAATGAAATTGAAATAGCATGTTATTCTAATACTAATGTATCCTTGTGCTTAAAGTATATAAAATTTTGCCCTAGACGCCTTATAAAATATATTAGTGACAGTATGTGAGGTAACTCAAGGAGAATAGCCTACTACACCTATCCCCCATATACTCAATAAAAGATTTTCAAACTTCCGGTTGGCCTTATACTTGTATTGTATATGTTTGTAATATGTAAGATATCTTATCAAAATTAACTGAACATATAATACTGAATATACTATGTTTTAATTGCTGAAAATGTCTGACAATATATTACACATATTGATTTTCGTTATTCTAACAAGCCGGCTTTGGTCCTTTCAAGTTGCAAGAGTATGAAATGTTACACCCGAACTTAACCCTTTCTTACTTTTTTGAATATAATCCTGTTTCCTACCTATTTATAGAAACTAAATACTATACTTGTGTAGTATATCTATCCACCAAATTGTTACTGTTTCATAATATAATATTAGAAAAGGCCCATCTAGGCTAGACAAAAATGGCTTCTATATTACAAGTGGTTTCGGTTTCAGTTAAACAAAAAATAAATTGGTAAATTTCTCTATGCCGTTACGTTTACTTGCATGCGAGCGAACAGCATATTTAGCCCCAACGCAATCAGCATAAGCTTCCAGGCAGAAAAGTTTAGATTTATGAATGGTATACCTAAATTTTCTTCCCTCCACCAAGGCAAATGAAGACTTGAAATATTCGAAGTATTTGCCGCACAAAAATCGAAATACCTAGACTTTAGGAACAAAAGGTTTTTCGCATTAATATATGGTTACTGCGACAGTTCATTTGTGTGGTGAACAATTCGCTTCGAAGATCTCAGATTAATGGATACAAATTGTCTATATACATTTTTATACATACATCGGTAAGATCAGACAACTACACATACATATATCTGGCATATAACGGATAAGTTAAATTATAGACAGTGTTTTTTTTATAATTTAAAGTATTGGACCCTAGAGTTAAGCTTTCCAAAGTATGTCCGTAATAGTTTAAAACTAACTTAGAATTTTCTCTTATTTACTTACATTTTATAATATACGCTAAAAAAAGGTAAATAAAACAAGTAAGGAAGGGCTAAGTTCGGATGTAACCGAACATTTTATACTCTCGCAAAGTCAAATAGTATACTCGTTTGAGATTTCTTTGTGGAATGACTGATATTTTCGGTAGAAGGTCAACTATAGGCACTGGGGTCCACATATTTAGTACTTAGGGGCTTAAACAGTTTTGGTTCGACTTAGACAATTTTTGGCCACAAGGTGGCATACTTTAATCGTATTATTCACGCAAAGTTTTATCCCGATACAGTCATTGTTGCCTGATTTTCGCATTATGACATAGAAACATGAAAAGAACGTTATGCACCGAATTTGGTTGAAATCGGTTAAGCAGATCTCAAGATATGGGTTTTCACCTAAAAGTGGGCCGTGCCACGCCCACTGTTTAATTTGAACGCGGTTCCTATAAAGTCATCTCATACCATCCCAGAGATAAAATTAAATGTCTCTGGCGTGTTTAGTGCTTCATTTATCGCGCTTTTAGTAGTTTTTAACAGTACCGTTATATGGGGAGTGGGCGGAGTTGCCACCCGATTTCAACTATTTTCACACCGTCAATAGAAGTGCTAAAAACATTTGCTTCCAGTGAATTTTGTTATTATAGCATTAGCAGTTTAGGAGATATGCACATTAAACCTATTAGAGGCGGGACCACGCCCACTTAAAAAAAAAATTTAACTGCAGATGCCGCTCCGTAATGTGATCCTGTGTACCAAATAACAGTCTTGTATCTTATTGCGGAGCATAGTTATGGCAATTTATTTGTTTTTGATTAATGGCGTTTTGTGGGCGTGGCAGTGGTCCGATTACGCCCATCTACAATACCAACCGTCTCATGGTACCAAGAAACATGTCTTCCAAGTTTCATAAAGATATCTCAATTTTTACTCAAGTTAGAGCTTGCACGGACGGACGGACGGACAGACGGACGGACGGACAGACAGTCACCCGGATTTCAATTCGTCTCTTCAATCTGATCATTTATATATATATAACCCTTTATCTAACTCGATTAGTTTTAAGTGATACAAACAACCGTTAGGTGAACAAAACTATTATACTCTGTAGCAACAGGTTGCGAGAGTATAAAAATGCTTTCGCATTTCGTCAAGTACAAGTAAAACGATTTAGAATGTTAACTTCCTTTAAAAATTACGGAACGGGAAACACGCTTTCAAAAGTCGACCATAAAAACTTAGAAATCAGCGTGAAAATTCATTAAAAGAGATTACTTAACGACAATAGAAAATTAAAATGTTTACCGACACCTCATTGGTAGCAATGTGCCCAAAGGTAAAAAATCGCATTTGCATTTAACGCAAAGTTGACCTTATTCAATTCCTTTTCTTAGAGCTGTTTTAACTGGATACTGTTTAACATCAGGTTTAACAATATATGCAGTATTGTGGAGTGGAAATTGGATTGATTATAATAGATCTGCCTTACTGACACGTTTTGTTGTAACTCATCCTAAAAATCCATTTGTATAAGAAAGATTATATTTTATGAAAAATCAGATCCTTTGTACTTCTCATATTGAACAGGGCAAGTTAAGTCTGCCACGAAGTTTGTAATACCCGGAAGGAAACGTCGAAGACCCGTGACGAGCCGAGTCGATTTAGCCATGTCCGTCTGTCTGTCCATCTATCTGTATATACGAACAGATCTCAGAGTTTGGGACATCGAAATTTTTCACACGTCCTTTTCTCCCCAAGAAGCTGCTCATTTGTCGGAAACGTTGATATCGGACCACTATTTATCTGCAACATAAACAGACTGATCAAAATCAAGTTTTTGTATGGAAACTTTTTTATTTGTGAAGGGTGCTACCGAACTTAACGTTTTTTGTTGTTTCTAACTAGGTTGACTCTCTAATAACGGGTGTTTTTTGGACGTGGGCAGTCTGTCTTTTTGACCGCTGTTACTTGATTTATACTCAGTTTGGTTTACCATTTCTTAGTGAACAGACTTACTCCGAAATAACGTTTGCACATCGTGCAAATTTTTTACCAAAATAATGGTTCGATTTGCGCAACGCATCGCGCGATGTTTCCAACATTCGGTCTACATAATCGCCCAGCAGAGTCGGTAATTCAAGCAACCGGTTTCGCACTACATTGACTCTAGTAAATAATGTTCATCCTCAGCGACACCATACAGTGCGCACCGAAGACGCTATTATTGCTGCTGTAGAGCTGAGTATCCGAATAGGTCTATCCGTCATCGCGGGCAACAATTGGAGCTGTGCGCATCCACTTTATGAAAAGTTTAGCGGAAGGATCTTGGTTTGTGTGCTTACAAAATCCAACTCCACCATCAAGGCTGTCGCAGGTTCGGTGAATGGGTCCAAAACGAGGATGCCCAATAACCAAAATTGCCGGATTTGGAATGATGATAATCCGCAAGCCATTGTTCAGACGTCGTTATATCCTTACTGTTTGATGTGCTCTATTGGCAGAGGGGTTCATTGGTCCATATTTCTCCCAAAATGATGCCGGCCATAATGTTACAGTTAATGGCGATTGCTATATAGCATTGATTAAGGCCTTTTTCGTGCCTTAATTAGAGGATATTGATGTAGTCAACCTTTGGTATCAACAAGACGGTCCTACATGCCATATATACATCTAACGAAACAATCAATTTATTGAAAGAAACTTTTGGTGAGCGCATTATCTCGCGTCGCGGGCCTGTGGCGTGG